GAACCCTCCTCCGTATTTACCGGAACTGATCTACATGAACTCACTCACATCCAGTAAGTCAGGAACCTGGAACTCGAAGAGCTCACTGCAATAACTGTCTCGCTCATCCTCAGTATTGCTGCTACTGTTAATGTAAGTCGACGAAGATGAGTTCAGCTGCGTCGTCGGGCTTGAGATGGGCGTCGATAAAACCGAAGTAGTCACAGTATAATTCAGCTGGTTGTTGGGCAAGTAGAAGTTCGAGCTATCTGCTGATACCAATTGAGGAATTGGTTGCTCCAAATTGTCATAACTAATTGTATTACTAGCGGCAGCAGGTACGAAACTTTCTGAGAAATCACAGGTCATGCCATCTGGCCCGAATTGAGAGCCATTGGGCTGGATCAGCTGTGAATCGCTGAGGAATTGGGCAATAGGGTCCTGTAACTGTGCGTGTTCGGTGAGATCTTGGCACTGGGATGATAGGAGGTCTGTGGCAAGTCTTAGGAGCTCGGGGCTGACTAGAGGCTCCATACCGAGCAAACTCGAGATGTCGTATTGAGATGGGTTGATCAATAGGGTTGGATTGGCGAGGAGTGTAGAGAGGTCGAGGAGATCGAGGCGAGGACTGTGAGTTACGGGGTCGATTCCCATGCGAAGGAGCCTTTTACGGATGTGTGTGTTCCAGTAGTTCTTGATCTCATTATCGGTCCTCCCAGGCAAGCGAGCAGCTATCGCAGACCATCTGATATCGAAAAAGAGAGAGTTTCGATGAGCATATATATGAAAAATTAATGACTTAAAAAATAAATACATAAAGAAACGGACAGTACTGGAAATAATTAGAGGTGGAAAATTTTCAAAATAATCTTATGCTTTCAAAATAACTATGATATAATTAAAGTCACTACTGTCCACAAAATCAATCATTGACGCCCATTTTAATTTCTTTTGACAAAAAACAGTACCGCGAGACCATTTTCAAACATCCATAATTAAATGACGATTCAAAGAAAATTATTTAGTACACTGCGTATGCAACGGATGAGATGTCAGGACCATATAAGAAATTTAATTAAATTAATTAGCTAGGACTAAAACTCTTACTTGTTCCCCAAAATACTGTGCAGCTGAATTATGGTCTCCTCCTCTTCGAATGAGAACCTTCCTCTCTTAATATCAGGCCTCAAATAATTCGTCCACCGCAGCCTACAGCTCTTTCCACACCTAGAGAGTCCTGTTCAGAATTTAAAAAAAAAAAAAAATTGCTCGGTTAATATAAAATCCAACGGTTAGCTTGATAAGTACAAATACAGTAGCTAATTAATTAACAAAACATAAGAAACTTACCGGCATTTTTGGGAAGAGTTCGCCAGCTCCCACACCCATGCTTCTGTATATAAGCAATGAGCTTCTGGTCCTCCTCCGGCGTCCACGGCCCTTTCTTCAGTCCTTCCTTATCACAACACGGCGCCCGACCCATATCCAGCGAATTGAAACCCCGTTAACCGCGAAAAAAGAAAAAGGAAAAGGAAAACACACCTTAATTTTCTACAATCCAAACGCTGGACTCAATGAAGAAAAGATGGTATACAATTATCGATCGATGGCTCGGGGTCTCGGTCGCCGAAGGAGTGAAATGAGCTTCGAATGGGAGGGAAGAGAGGCAGCAGTTGTCGCTTAAATAGGTAGGAGAAGGCGTGGAAGAGAAATGAGAAAGTCAAAAGGATTTGGTGCCGGCCTTTGTTTATCGTAAGGGCTACGTGTCAATCTCTTGTGATGGCTTAATTTCATCCTCTATACACTACCGTGATAAAATTTGTAGGGTTAAACATCCCCACACACACACAGAGAGAGAGAGAGAGAGAGAGAGAGAGAGAGAGAGAGCTGAGGATCGTTTTCCCATCAGCTGGCAGGCGTTGACCACGCAGCGCCACGTAGGGGTCCATATGACGCTCATGGAAACAGACGGATTTAAAGCGAAAGGGATCGAGCCCCACTTTCACAAAACTGAGTTGGCCGGGGTTGCAGTTTGACCTCGTTGCATATATTAGGCGAAGTACAAGCCTTGATTCTTGAATTCAGATTTGTATTTCTCCGCGACTGGATTAAAAAAAAAAAAGAGTTTGGGCCAGGGCTTTGGATATACGTGGCGTCGTACAACTCGACATTCAAATTTCTCTGCGACTGGATTAAAAGGCGTGACCAGTACTTGAAAAAAAAAATGTGATGTACGTGGAATTCAACATTTGTATGAAGTGGGGGCAGCAGCTCTTTTCTCTAGTTTCTAGTAAAAGGGTGCGTATAAAAAGTTAGGGAGGGACGGGGACCCAGCAAATAGACTAAATGTGATCCTAATAAGATTCGGTTAAAACGACCCAAAAGGGCTTCATCATTGTTGCCTTTTGGAACGTATTTGGAGCGTACTTGCCCAGCTACCGCACTTAGCATGCGTATGAATATTATACACAAACTAAATACACATGATTGATTAGAGCCAACGCTAAGCAGAACCAACAGTACTGTAGAATTGGGTATTCAAAAGTGTATTTAGCAGAGATATTTATCAATCACAACAACAAGCCTAACCATCTACACAAAGATCTCAACGGAGGAGTAACCATTTTCCCGCATGTCAATAGACTGTTGTTAACATTTGAGGAAAAGAAACGTGTGAAGTGCAGTTTTCTCAGACCTCCTGAAGGAATCAGTCCAAAGTTCTACATTTCTTCCACGGATAATAGTTAGGATCCAAACTTTTTCAACCCTTTGAGAGATGTCATAATTAAGCCATTAACTTCCAAAAGGCAAACAGTACCATCTGAAATCAAATATCCTTTGAAATTAATTAATTGCTAGCTTTCTAGGACCCAAATATCCAATCATAAGGTTTATCGTTGAGGCTAGTTAGCTCGATCGTTAACCCGTCTAATTCGTTAATTTCACGGACTTGTTAACAACATAATAGAAGAGTCACTATACATGACACAAGCACAGATGGATAAGCCTCGTACCCATCTTATTAAAGTAACATCCACCTTTTTTATAACTGTAAATTCCCTTCTATTCGCTCGAATTAGCTATCATAGCAAGAAAATTGGTGGCCTAAACATATGCTTAATTACCAAATGCTAAAACTGAACCATATATAAACTAACTTACGTGGCTTGTACTTCCTAATATATATATATAAATCTCTAATAACGTGCTCAACAGATAAGGGTGTCCAACAAAAGCCGGAAGCCCGTGTTCCGGCCGCGGCCCGCGCCGCGGTCGTGCCCGGCCCGGGCCCGGAAACCCGGGCAAAACCCGGGTCCGGGCCCGGCCGGGTCGTGCCGGGGCCCGGGTCGCCGTTGGCGAGGCGCACGTCCGGCCCGGCCCGGGCCCGGAACAGTGCCGAAAAGGCACTGGTGGCTTCGAATGGCCGGGCCGGGCGGGCCGGCCCGGCCACAAGGCTCACAACGTGACCGTTGACCCCGGGCCGTGCCGGCCAGCCGGGCCTGGCCACAACTGGTCCAAACGGTGACGTCGACCCCGCCGGAGCGTGCCAAGCCCGGCCCGGCCCGGGCCGAACGTCACAAAGGTGACGTTGCCCGGCCCGGCCATAACGGTCACAAAGGTGACCGTTGCCCAGCCCGGCCCGGGCCAAATCTGGCCTAACGGCCAGATTTGGTCTTTTGACCGTTTTGCCCCTTAAAACGGTCAAAAAACGGCTATTTTTCGAGGGTTTTTTGGTCATTTACCTAGGGGGCTGCTTCTATAAATAGAGGGGGGGTTTCAATTCATTTTCTCACAACAAAACTCATCTATTTCTCTCTCTACTACTCTCTTATACAATCTTATACTATCTCATACTAATATACTATCCTATAATCTTTTGTATTTTCTAATACTTCCAACAAATGGCTTCTGGGTCTGATTATGAAGAGCAACATGCAACTCCTACCGATCCAGAGATGAGTCCTCCTACAACAACTCCTCATCCTACCGGTGTTAATCCTGAATCTGGTGGCGACGAATCTACGGCACCAAGAGCTCCAAAAAGGCCGAGGTCTGATGTATGGAATTTTTTTGAGAAGATAGACGTCACCAAGGATGAACACGGTAGGATCATCTCTCAGAATGCGAAATGTGCGTTGTGCGGCCAGATATTCAAAGCTCATCATAAGAGCGGCACCAACCATCTCAAACGGCATATTGAAAAACACAACAAAGGCCAAAATCTACAAGGTGATATCCGGCAGTCTATGCTTTCCCAATCATCCTCTTCAGGTACCCTCGGCAGTTGGAATTATGACGCTGCCCGAGCCCGGAAATGCGTAATCAGGTTTATTGTTCTTAAAAACCTTCCTTTTAAATTAGTAGAAGATGATGAATTTGAAGATTTATTTAGAGATGGTTTTTATCCTGCATTTACAAAATTTTCTCGTCAAACCTGTCAACGTGATATTTTAAAATATTATGTTGAGGAACAGGGAAAAATAATTTCTTATTTTAAAAATTTAAACTGCAAATTTTCTTTAACTTCTGATATTTGGTCATCTAGAGTGCAAACTGGTTATTTATGTATAACAGCACACTGGATTGATGAAAGTTGGAAAATGTTTAAAAGAGTTGTTTCTTTTATTGCAATTGAAGAGTCACACACTGGTATTAATGTTGCAAATTTAATTGTTGAAGAACTTATGAAACTAGAAATTGATCAAAGAATATTTACTCTTTCACTAGATAATGCAAGTAATAATAATGTAGCTGTTGATTTTCTGAAAATAACTTTGTCATTGCCATGTCATGGTGAGCTTTTTCATGTTAGATGTATCTGTCATATTTTAAATTTAATTGTTCAAAGTGCATTTTCTGAAATTAAACCCATGATAGAAAAAGTTAGAACAGTTACTAATATGCATAATGCTTCTGAAATGAGAATTAAAAGATGGAAACAATGTTGTAAAAGAAAAAATTATAAGCCTAGACTAATTCCAAAAGATGTTGACCATAGGTGGAATTCCACCTATGCAATGTTATCTGTAGCAATAGAATATAAAGAAATTATAAATGATTTTATAAATTTTTATGCTTCTAGTTCTAGCTCTGGTAGTGCTTATGGAATAACTGAAGATGAATGGACAGTTATATGTAAATTAAATGAGATGTTACAAGTTTTTTATGATGCTACTATGTTATTATCTGGTTGTTATTATCCAACTATTACTTTAGCTGCTTTACAAATTTTAAATATTCAAAATTTTTTTACAAAATATCGTATGGATGATATTTTTGGAAGTATAATTTTTGAAATGGAGAGTAAATTTAATAAGTATTTTAGGCCTATTCCTCATATTTTTGGTATTGGTGTTCTTATTGATCCATGCTTGAAGGAAATTGGCCTTCGAAGTTTGTTACAATCATTGTATGGTGGACAGATTATAGACTTAGATGATGGATCCACCCTTACTGCTACTACTCATTATTTAGCTATTAGAAATTATTTTCAAACCTTATATGATGAGTATGCAGCTAGATATGGTGTAGCTACACAACAGTCTTCAGCTTCGGCACCTTCAGCTTCGAGCACAGGTCGAGGTAAAAGTGTAAGTTTTGATAGGTATGCAATGGTAGCTGAACTAACTGGTGGATCTGGAACTTCATCAGGATTAGATGTTTCTGAAATAGATGAATATTTTTCTGCTTCTTTAGTTAGATGTCAAGGAAATGCTTTAGATATTTTGCAATGGTGGAAAGTATATGGATCAGTTTCATATCCTATACTTTCCACCATGGTTCGTGACTTACTATCAGTGCAGGTTTCGACTGTAGCCTCGGAATCCGCTTTCAGCACAGCAGGACGTTTGATCGACGACCACAGGACATGCTTAGATCCGTATACTGTACAAGCGGTGATGTGCTTACAGGATTGGTGGAGATACGAGAAGCGAACACAAGGCATCGAACGGATTGCTATGATTGAAGATAAATTTGAAGAGTTAGGACTAGCAGATAGATATAATGATTAGATAATATTCATAAAATTGTAATTTTGTTTTCTTAGCTTTAAATTTGAATTAAATTATTTTGAAAAAAGTTGCAAATGATAGTGATATGGGTGAGTAGGTGCCAACCTAGTTGGGATGTACTCATCTATTGTGATGCGACGAATTTCGAAATAAATTTATACTTGTAAAGGATTTGTAAAGGATTTACCGATTATTAATAAAGAAGTTATTTTTATCATTTTTTGTACTTGTAATTTATGTCATTTCATTTCAAGCTATTAATTAAATTTATGACATTTTTTATAATAATTTATGGTTTATGGTTTTGTTAAAATTAAAAAAAAAACAAAAAAAATTTCTAAAAAAAATCAAACCGGGCCGGCCCGGTGTCCGGCCCGCTCAGGCCCGGGCCCGGCCCGGACCACCCGGGCCCGAGTCCGGGCTTGGGTTTTGCCCGGCCCGGGCCCGGTTTTCCGGGCCGGCCCGGATGGACAGCCCTACCTCCAGAAACATGTTTACTGTTTTATTGTCATATATGAGATGAGGAAGAAAAAGATGGAAAATGGAGAAACCAACAATTGAAGGTACCAAACCTACAGTAACCCCGTTAGCCTAGCCAGCTTCTCCCTGGCTCCCTGGCTATTTTTAGTTATATATATATATTTTTTCAAGTAGATAAGCTATCCAAAATAGTTGCATGACATATTTACACAATAAGCTGACATCAGCTTGGCCTCCGTGGTCCCTACCCACCCAACACCTGCCTTTAGACCTCCACGTCACCCTATTGACGCGTGTCCCCTGTCTACTTATTCACGGCAAGGCTCCCCTTACTAATTGAACATCACATTCAAGACTATCACTACAACAAGCATCCGATTTTAATCATAAAGAAGACTACGACTGTAATTATAGAAGACATAAGAGGAAAGTTCAGGACTTAATTAGGAGAAGGGTAACCATTTCAAATGTGTAGAAAAAATTTGCATGGCTTGTCTCATCCATCCATCCATCCATCTCAATCTAGATTATGCTAGTCAAATATTATTTTAATCTCTAAGTTTTAAATTTTGTTTCGGTGGAGATCATATTAATTTACCCTGAGGTTGCCCTGCTTGTCTTCCTACCCCCCAACCATGCAGCAATCCGCTGGTTAAGGAAACCATCAAAGGGTTTGACCATGGGGGCTTATTTTCTCCCTCACTATTAGCTGTTAGCAGGCTCAAAAAAGGTACGAGAAGTTTCTAGAACACCAATTAGAGATGACTTTAATTTGTTCAATTGTATTTTATTTCTCTGGTTCTCCTTGATAGCAGAGGCCCTCGTGGGAAAAGGGGCTGTGAAGGAATCCTTTCCTAAATAGAAGATGACAGCGACCATCAGTTTATTATTATTATTATTATTGCTAATGCAATGAGAAAGCAGGCATAATCCGATATTAATTTCCAAAATGTCTTCAACCTTCAGCATCGACCCGACTGTTATTACAGCAATAAATTTCAACGTTTTGGATCATCATATGATCTCATTAAGATTGCTGATAACAGGTGATTTCAATGTGAAGGAGTTTGTGATATGTACCTGTACATGGTCTGCGACTGTCGTGCTGCGTTACACGGGGCACAGCCTATTCATCAAATAGGATCCGTTAATCCAAAAGACGGACAATAGATAATGATATTAGTCAATGATAGCATATTAAAATCCAGTATAATACGTACCGTACTTCTTATGCACAACACCGTGCGATTGTGATTCAAAGTACTGATCAGCAGTTGAGATGCGATCAATACCTGACCAAATCTGAGTCTCAGTAATGCAATCTAAAGTTAGGATGGATCAGGTTCTGTGATCGAATTGATTTAACCTAGGCATCAAACTATAATGCAAAAATCCTGGTAAAGGACCGGAACCAAACACCTCAGAACTTGGCTGTACCAAACTAGATGTGGTTCAAAATGGAAAAAGAGTCTGAACCCAGACTCCTATATGATAATTAATGAAGAACTCGAGACAAATCAGGCCTCAGTAATTTTAAACCATAATGTCGACTCATTTGTCCACATAATAAACAACACCGGCGAGACAAATCAGGCCTCAGTAATTTTAAACCATAATGTTGACTCATTTGTCCACATAATAAACAACACCGGCAAGTCAGAAACGCAGCGAATTCTTGCTTAGACTTCACTCTTAACAGAAGACTAACATTACTCTATCATATAGAAAGTAAATAGATAAAACAAATGCCAAGAAATATACAATGAATTCATACATAAATAAATGCCAAGGCCTACACAAAGAATTCGTACATAGAAACAAGTGCTATTTTTTTATTACGTTGCCATAAGCCTACAAATATTAAACCTTATATACATAGAAGTTTCTAGGGCTATGCCACAGGTCACGAATGGCATGGGGAGACCAGAGAAATTTTATGATGTAATGGTAGTTGGTGATGCAATACAGGAAGCAACTCACATATAATTCTTCACAGAGAAGCAGGTTTCCACGAATTGCGGCCAAGAATACTATGTAGAGTATACTTGTATAAAAATATATTCACGTATAAATACAGGACAATTAACACCAAGATTACAGCATTGCATGGGTTAATTATTTTAATCTACCTGCAATATTGGCTGATTGCCCATGTGTTTGCTGTAAGGGAAGCAATTGATTTGTTTAATCTCTTTTCTGCTTTGGATCACGACAAAGTTTTGAAATTAAGCTTGCGTCCCATACTCTATTTGGGCAAATGGCAGGGAGCCACAATAGGGTGTGATGCCATAATACATGCCCAAATAAGTGATGTATATCTTGGAGTTGACCCATGCATAGATTAGTTTATGCTGATCCTAATAATGGTGTGAGGTGTCTAATTGTTTGACTAAAATCTTGATAGTAGATGATTTATTAACTTCCACGTCCAAATTTTTTATGTATTATATGCAATTTCTTTTAATTTTTTTGGGGGGTGGGGGTATGGAGATTTATCATGTCCTCATGCATTTTCTTTAATATTAAGTTTGAAGTTCATATTTGTTATACCCCTAAAAAATACTAAATATTAATCTCCATAGAGCAATCGTCACATGTCTTACAATATACCTAACACATCTAATTCAAGACGAAAATAATCTCCACCCGACTCGGCCCACTATTCAGCAGACATTTTGCGTAATCGAGATAAAATGTGGTACTACTCGACCAACCTTTCGATCGACTCCACAAGCCACCCGACTCGGCCCACTGTTCAGCCGACATTTCGCGTATCCAAATCAAAAAGTGATACTTGTCATCCAACCTGGCCAGTCGCTCCTGCAAATAACCCCCACTTGGCCCGTTGAATTAGCTGTTAACAGGTATAGTCGTCCATCAGGTATAGTCGTCCATCAGTTGGACGACTAAAAGAGTTAGTTTTTTCGAGCCCCGTGCCAACAGCCGTCTGTCCTTGCATTAACTTCTCTGACAAAGTCATCATTTCTCTAGCTCTCATATCCTTTATGACTCATCGGACCAAATCAGCACTGAACACCTGCTGTCATTCCCATAATAAATGACCAGGTGACTCACATCCCTCAACAACCAACACGTAGCACATGTCTGTCGACTTAGCTGCCTAGCTAGACTCAGCCCAAATTACCTTCTTGCCCCTCAGATCCACTATAAAAAGGAGAGGAATTGCATGAGGTAAGCTTCTCTGACCTTTTTTGGACACAACTAACATGTAACTCTATATTTCTCCACTCAAGAATCATCTACTGACTTGATCGTCAGAGGAACAATCAGAGAACCCAACTCCGGCCCGGA